GGGGAGCAGGGGGGGGTTGTGCTTGTTGCTGTTGTTGGGCTCGGAGCTGTAACTGGGGGAGGGGAAAGAGAAATGGGTGTTGGGGAGACGCCAAAAATGCTCCAGAGGGAGATGGTAAACAGCCTCGGGGACCCCAAAAACAACTTTAGAGACCCCAAAACCGTCTTTAGAGACCCTAAAACCATCTTTAGAGACCTCAAAACCATCTTTAGATACCCCAAAACCATCTTTAGATACCCCAAAACCATCTGGAGAGACCCAAAACCCAACTTTAGAGACCCCAAAACCACCTGGAGAGACCCCAAAACCACCTGGAGAGACCTCAAAACCAACTTTAGAGACCCAAAACCGTCTTTAGAGACCTCAAAACCATCTGGAGAGACCCCAAAACCCAACTTTAGAGACCCAAAACCATCTTTAGAGACCCCAAAACCACCCTCAGGGACCCCAAAACCACCTGGAGAGACCCCAAAATCGACTTTAGAGACCCCAAAACCACATCAGGGTCCCAAAACCACTTTCAGGAATCCCAAAACCATCCTTAGAGACCCCCAAATCCCCCCAAAAACCCAACCCAAGCCTCAAATCCCCCCAAATCCCCCCAGAATCTCCCCCAGACCAGGCTCTGCTGCCGCTGCTGCTCCTCCATGATCCCGACCTGAGCCAGGCCTGGGCTCACCTGGGACAGGGACACGGGGGGTCAGGGGGGAAACAGGGATGAGACCCCCAAATCCCATAAAAAACACCAAAAATCCCATAGAAACACCAAAAATCCCATAAAAAACACCAAAAATCCCATAAAAAACACCAAAAATCACACAGAAAACACCAAAAATCCCATAAAAAACACCAAAAATCCCATAGAAAACACCCCAAATCACACAGAAAACACCCGAAATCCCATAAAAAACACCCCAAATTGCACAGAAACCACCCAAAATCTCACAAAAAACACCCAAAATCCCATTAAAAACACCTCAAATCCCACAAAAACCACCTCAAATCCCACAAAAATCACCCCAAATCCCTCAAAAACCACCCAAATCCCACAGAAACCACCCCAAATCCCACAGAAACCACCTGAAATCCCACAAAAAACACCCCAAAACCCACAAAAACCACCCCAAATCCCATAAAAAATACCTCAAATGGGAATGTGAGGGAAGGAAAAAGGGGGGAAAAGGGCGGGAATGTGAGGGGAGAAAAGAGCGGGAAACGTGAGGGGAAAAAAGGGCGGGAAACGTGAGGGGAGAAAAGAGCGGGAAACGTGAGGGGAAAAGGGTGTGAAACACGACAGGAAAAAGGGTGGAAATGTGAGGTGAAAAGAGTAGAAAATGTGAGAGGAAAAGAGCAGGAAATATGAAGGAAAAAGGGTGGGAAATGTGAAGGGAAAGGAGTGGAAATGTGAGGGGAAAAGGGGGCGAAATGTGTGGGGAGAAAAAGGCAGGGTATGTGAAAAAACCCATCCAGGGTTTTTACCACAAAAACCATCCCATATCCCCCAAAAAACACCCACAATCCCCCAAAAAACACCCAAAATCACACAAAACCTACCCCAAATCCCACAAAAATCACCCCAAATCCCACAAAAACCACCCAAAATCCCACAGAAACCATCTCAAATCCCACGAAAAACACCCCAAATCCCGCAAAAACCACCCCAAATCCCACAGAAATCACCCCAAATCCCACTAAAACCACCCAAAATCCCACAAAAACCATCTCAAATCCCACAGAAACCACCCCAAATCCCACAAAAATCACCCCAAATCCCCCCTTACCTGCGGCTGAACCCCCGAGGTGACGGGGAGGGTCCCCGGCTGCTTGGGCAGGAATGGGGGAGCCCCAGGAACAGGGGCCGAGCCCCCCAGCTGTGAGGAAAGGAAAATTTGGGGTCTGGGGGTGCAGCAAAGACACCCCAAAAAAGAGATCTGGGGACATCAAAGACACCCCAAAAAGAGTGGGGGGACAGGAGGAACCCTTCAAGAAAGAGATGGTGGCGCTGAGGGTGGAGGAGTGGGAAATGTGAGGGGAGAAAAGAGCGGGAAACGTGAGGGGAGAAAAGAGCGGGAAACGTGAGGGGAGAAAAGGCGGAAAAGGTGAGGAGAAACGGGAATTGTGAGAGGAGAAAAGAGTGAGAAACATGAAGGGAAAAGGGTGGAAATGTGAGGTGAAAAGAGTAGAAAATGTGAGGGGAAAAGAGCGGGAAACGTGAGGGGAGAAAAGAGCGGGAAACGTGAGGGGAAAAGGGGGGGAAACATGAGGGGAGAAAAAGAGCTGGAAAACAAAAAAAAGATAAAAAAACTGATTTGGAACATCAAAGACACCCCAAAAAAGAGTGGGGGGACAACAACGACCCCTCAAGAAAGAGATGGTGGCGTTTGTGGAGGAAGCAAAGAGCGACCCAGCAGATAAAAGGGTTGAGGGGTGGGAAATGTGAGGGGAGAAAAGGGCGGGAAAACGTGAGGGGAGAAAAGGCAGAAAAGGTGAGGAGAAATGGGAATCGTGAGAGGAGAAAAGAGTGGGAAACATGAAGGGAAAAGGGTAGAAAATGTGAGAGGAAAAGAGTGGGAACCGTGAAGGAAAAAGGGTGGGAAATGTGAGGGGAAAAGGGTGGGAAATGTGAGGTGAAAAGAGTAGAAAACGTGAGAGGAAAAGGGTGGGAAATGTGAGGGGAAAAGACTAGAAAACATGAGGGGAAAAGAGCGAGAAACGTGAGGGGAGAAAAGAGCGGGAGAAGAAAA